TTATACATTATTGTGGTGTGCCTTCAAGGCCTGGCACCGATCCTTTAGCATTTGAGTCACACTTAGTTCAAGTTACCTTCCTAAGTTGATTTTCCTTTGCTTGCTTTCTGTTCTTTTTTAATCCTTTTCTTCTACCCTATTCCTTTCTATTTCTCCCCTTGACTGAATACAGATAATGCTTCTGAAATTCTGTATTTCTTCTTGACCAGGAAGACAAGCCCAGAAACTCCTTTCTGTAAGTGATTTTACTGCTAACCTCTCTGAGGAGACAGGATAATTAAAGTAACAAATCTGAGAAGGCTGTAACAGTCTCACCAATCCTTCCAAGTTCTTAAAAGTCATGGTTCCAGAGCTTTTCTTTCACAGATGCTGGGCATCTGTTTAATGCCTGCCCTCAGTTTGATTCCTGTCTGTGGGCTTTATTTCCGGTTCCCCAAAAAGGCATTATGACTTCTGCTTCTGTGTAAATCCCTCTTTCCAAAGTATTTGCATGAAGAACTCAATGGGACAAAGCAGTAGAGATAAACATAAGAGCCATTCTCATGAGATAATTGTTATTTCCTAGGATCTCTTGTTGCACACATTCCTTCTCCTTTAAAAATTTTACTCAATAAGTCTTAGTCTCCGTAGATTTAATAATGATGTAAAATTTATTTCATGTCAATTTTTATTAAAGGAAAAAAACTGTAAAGAATAAGAAAAAGAAAAGTATGCATAGGAATAAAAAGAAAATATTCACAGATGATTTCTTAGCAGTTATACATTGACTGATGTTTTGTTTTCTAAATTTCCCAGGGAGAAAAATGAGTATGTATAATTTTTATGGAAAAATAAGACATTATTTATGTATTTATTCAATTAAAGTAATCCTGAGGATTTTCTGTTCTAGGCAAAAACTATGATTGGAAGGAACAAATTGCTATAACTGTTTCATTTTGTCCAGGATATTTACAGAAATTCCTTCCTAAATTATTCTTCCAGTATTTCCTTGAAGGAACTATCAGAGCTTCTGAAAATGAAGTAGGAAGTGACCTGATGAGATGTGTGATTTAGAAAAAATAAGTAAACAAACTGTGGATTGCTCTATTGTGAGGCTGTAGGTGGGAAATTAAGTCAGACCTTTCTAGGAGACAAGGAAGAGGATGAACTATTTGGGAGATGAGAATGAATTGGAGAGGAAGAAGCAAATGTGGTGAGCAGGCACTTAAAAGTAAACATGTCCAAAATTAAAATCTCCTTTTAAAATTACACTCTGTCAACCTTCCAGCAAATTTATTTTTCCTCCCCTAATTCATTCTCAGTCAATGGCATGACTTAGCATCCTGTGCCCCAAACTAGAAACTAATTTCTTCATCTTCTCATCCTCCCTCTAATCCATCACTGAGTCCTGATAGTTCTTTTTTCTAAATATCCCTTAGAGCTGTCCATTTTTCTTCACTATTGGATTAGGCCATTACCATCTACTCCTAGATTTCTCTTTTTAGTGATACTAGGGATGAACCATGGCTTTTAAACTAAGATACATTCCCTGGACTTATTCATTCATTCATTCACTCAGTTGTTTTTGAGGCAGGTTATCATTAAGTCACTAACTCCCCAAATAGAACTCTTACTTGTAATCCTCCTACCTTAGCCATCCAGAGAGCTTGGATTACTGTTTTTCCTTGCTTCACTTTTTTTCTGTCTTCCAGGTCATTCTATCATAGTGATTTTCCAAAACTGAAAATCTAACCCTGTTACTGCTCTAATTCAATGGCTTCTTTGTGCTTTTTTTTTTTTTTTTTTTGGAAGCAGTACAAACTCTTGGCTTCCAAGGCTTTGCTAGAGCTACACCTACCTATCTTTTTATCCTTGTTCCTTGTTGCATTCTTACTCCTGCTACACTTTGACCACTCACAGAACCTTCCAGTTCTCCAGGTGACTATTTCTCACAAGTATTTCCTCACGCTGTTCTCTTACAAGGAACAGTTGCCTCTGTCCTCCTTCCCTGTACCTCCTAAGTCCTTGACATCTCAATTTAAGTATCACTCTGTGGTGGGCATCCTCCAGCTTAAACCTTTAAGCATCTTGGTTGTCTCACGTGACACTCACCATGGACATCTGTAACATTTGTTTCACTACTGCTATTTCCTACTGTACTGTAAGCTGTGAGTGTGGCTGCAGCTGTTTTATTTTTGCCATGTGTCTAGATCTCCTACTGTAGCACTGTAACCTTGGGTACTCACATGGTTGATGAATTAGTCAAGGAGGAAGGAAGAGAAAGGAACAGAAAGGAAGGAAAGAGTGAGTAGAAAGAAAAATATTAAACCTTTCTAGAGACCACAAAGATCCTGGTGATGTTTAAATGAAATTGCAGAGCAGGGCGTGGAAAAAATATTAGTAAAATATAAAAAAATATTCTAAGAATCATTCAGCAGCATGATACATAGCCATACTGTTACACTGGGGTTAAAAAAAAAGAAACAGATTGGTTTGGATGGGAGCCTAATGAGTCTGGTATGAACATCTGGCACAGAAGTTCAACTGAAAAAAATAAGGGATCTCATATGGAACTTAGGAAAGAAGTATGAGCCATATGTGATGACTGAGGTCATGGGAGTGGGTGAGACTCCCCAGAGAGTGTCTGGAGCAAGGAGACAGCTGAGGTTGGCATTTCAGAGACCTAACATTTAAAGACACACAGCAAGAGTGCTTAGTGGCAGCGAGGGCCTTATCCTACATCTGAGGGAGGTAGGAGCTCTTAAACAGTGCACTGATCAAGAGGAATTTGAAAAAGTATGGCTGCTCCAGCAGCTTTGGTTGTGGAGAGGGGAAACTCCTTGAAAGTAGTTTTATATGACTCACTGTATTCAGGAACTCCATCCTATTTCTGACAATATGCATTTACGATGTTTGCTTTTCTCTAAAATGACTGAATTTGACAGAGCTGAAAAAATCAACACAGGCCTTATACTCATCTGATTTTACCTATTGAAATTTTATGTTTATTGCAGAGTACCATTTAAAGCTTGTCTAGCTGTTGTTATTGGCAAGTAAATATGAAAACCTGATGTTCCTTCTTTAGGTTTCTGTGCTGGGCTTGAGATTATTTTTAATGAGATCTAGTTAGCTAATGAAAAGATTCATAAAGAGCAAATAACCCATCATTGTTTTAGTGAATTTGTAAGTTTGACAGTTCAGCTCTGATAACCTTGAATCTTTTATAGATGAAATGAGTTAAATCATTCAAAGTTTGTCCAGCTAGTACAAGGCCTTAAGTCAGCACTGAGTCCAGTATTCAGTATTACTACTAGCCTGGTCACTATTTTTATTTGGTAGGATTTGCATCCCTTTACTAGTACCTTCCAAACCTGTACTTGAAAAATATTTATTGACTGCATTATTTGTATTGAGCGCTATGCTGAACTCTGAGGATATAGTGATAACCAAATCAGACATGGTCCCTGTGTTCTATAGCACTCAATAAATACTCATTTAATTGATTTAAATTACCATCATTGCTGCTTTAGAATACTTTTCTTCATAGGATAATTGAGTATATAGTAAAAATACCAGCAATAATAACTGCTTCTCTATTGGGCTTATACTATTTGTAACAGTACCATTTATTGTACCGATCTGTGTAATTATTTCTTTAGGATATTTCCTAGAAGTGGGGAAAGAGATCATTTAAGGCCAAGACTGCCTAAACAAATTTCAGACTGAAAGATATCTAATCCAAAATCTAGAGGTTAGAAGCATCAGAGTCACACATGCCCAGATTTGAGTGCAGGCTTCACTGTGATTAGCTCTGTAATTGTGTACAGATTGCTTATTTGAGCCTTCATTTCTTTATTTGAGAAGGTAAAGTAATCCTAATTTCTATCTCATAGAACTATCTGAATATGATGATGGAATGAAATAACACAGAAAAACACTTAACATAGAGCCTGGCACAAAATGAGAACTTCTGTTATTAAAAGTATTGCTGTTACCTGTATGACATAACACTTAGCTTTTTAACCATTTTTACTGTTCCACACAACCTAATTGTTAAAAATTTTCACCATATCATTTGTATTCTACTGCTAAGGAAAAATTTTAAAAAGGGAAATAACATGAAAGCATATGTCATTTTTAACAGACTTAAAAAAAAAAAAAAGACAACAACTCCTATCAATAAGTGAAAATGAGGTCATTTCTAAGAAGAGCAAATATAGTTGAGTTTTACTAATATAACTTGGTATAATTTTAGGTTGCTAGGGTTTCAAAGACCTAGAAAGTAGGATAAAAGGAGAAGAAATGGACATTTGATTAAGAAGAAAAAGCACAGTGCTATATTTATCTTCTTGTAAATGAACACTATTCAAATAACTGACTAGAAAAACCATATTGTATTTCCTTGATCATTTTTATGCTTTCCTTTAAATTTAATATAGTATTCTTCTATATTGTGTGCACATAAATGCAAAATTATACAACTAAAGAGTCAAGATGTAGGATGCTGACTTATGGATTGCCTTTAATTAATTAATTAATTAATTAAATTATTTATTTATTTTTGTACTTTAGGGAAGGGTCTACAGGGTGTTCAGGGTCTCACTACTAGATCAGACTCATAGTGACTCACCTGTTTACAGCCTCCCAAGAGCTGGGATTATGGGTGTGTGCCACCACGCCCAGTCTCAATTGCATGTTCTGGGCATGGCAGGCCCGGGGATCGAACCCCTGGCCCCTGGGCCTGCTTACAGGCACTTTAATCTACCCTGAGCTATTTGTCCAGCCCATGGATTGCCTTTTCAACAAGAATAACTTACAATGAATATGTTTAGAAGCAATTTTTAAAAAAACCTTCATGTCATAGGAAATGTGCTATATATACTTGCTAGTTTGCTTTTTATTAATAATAAACTAAAATTATAAATGTGGGAAGTAGGATTCAGTAAAAGATTACCCTGATTTAGCAGAAACTTACCTCCAAACAAGTCTGTTTATGTTTAATGCTGTCTCTGTAATTACAGGGTGTAGGAAAAAACAAGATTGTTGACAGATTCCTTCACCTGCTCAACAGACCCCGAGAATATATCCAGCTGCACAGGTGAGTGTGTTAGAGCCATTAGCTCTTAACATCGGATTTAATTATTCATTTTTCTTCTAATACAATTGAAATATATTTTCTCAGTGGCTCATTTTTAAAACCAGTTACATTCCCATTCCAACTGCTCTTAATGTTTCTTCTCCTTAAAAGGTAATAAGACCATGAAAAAAAACATGCAAAATTTATTTTTAAAGTGACTGATACTTTATAAACATAATTAATAGATATTTTATGGACAGAAAGTGGTGAACATTATATTCTATAAGCAGATCTCATCAACATTGAGGCACTTAAGTTAGAAGAAAAATATGTAGCACTTAAGCCTGTTCTAACAAGAAGTTAAAATAGCTCACAGGGAGAAACAACCAACTGGATCTCAGGTATAGGATAAGGAGCATGGGAGAAATATGGTATTAGTGCCTTTAACTTCCTTGAAACACTTTGGATTACTTACATTGTGTATGTCAGAATGGTGATTCATGAAGAGCTTCCAAGCAAATAAATTTTCTGAAAATAAACCATATTCAGTTTTATCAGTGAACCTGTTCCATATTTAATTTAATTTAATTTTAATTTTAATTTTTTGTGGTACCGGGGATTGAACTCAGGCCCTTGCACTTGCCAAGGAAGCACTTATTCCACTGAACCATCTCCCTGGCCCCTCCATATTTTAAAGAATGAAATCTAAGTGACAGATCCACTAGACTTAAAAAAGAAAAAAAGACAGCAACTCCTATCAGTAAAACATGGAAGAGGGAGCAAAGAGACAGAGACAGAGAGCAGGATGTTAATTTAAAACTAACTTGTTTTAACCTTGGAGATAAAAAATATTGTACAGGGGCCGGGGAGATGGCTCAGTAGGATAAGTGCTTGACTGGCAAACTCAAGGATCTGAGTTCAATCTCCAGTCCCACCAAAATAAATAAATAAATAAATAAATAAATAAATAAATAAATAAATAAATATTGTACAGTAGAAAGAACATTGAAGTATAGGAACTAGCTCCTGGTTTGGGTTGTTTTGTTAAATTGTGAGTTTTGGAGACAGAACTACAGGTGCATAGGTGGCAATTAGTGAGTTAAAGACTAAAGGAAAGTTGAGATATGGTTGAAAACTGATTCTTGGAATTTATCCCCCTGGCTGTAACAGAGTAATAAAACCCAATTAGTCCTTTCTAAGACTAATTCTACCTAGGATCTATAAAACTGGACAAAATTCCAAACTCAGGGCTCTCTGAAAAACTACTAGAATTCACACATGATTGAGAACTTTCATTAAATACTTCTAGTATTCAAAAGATAATTCTATAAAGTTTATGCTTTAGAAGGTTAATGTAGCCCTATGGTGAAAGCTATCATGTACTCTTAAAAAGTTTAACGGTAAGCCTTGAATAAACAATGATGTTTGTTATTTACAATATTTTAGAAATTCTTTCTTGTATAAAATTACTTTAAAAATAAAAACAATGGATTTTGGAGGCTTACTGGGAGGAATGTGTTGAAAAGATCAAGGTGATTCAAATGTAGATTAACTTTTTACCTGAACCAAACTTGACACTTGCCTAAGACTGAAGAATCCCAGCAATAAACAGCATCTCTTTAGTGATGGCAAGCTTTCAACAGAAAATTACTAAGCCTATGAAAAAGCTGGAAAAATGATCATCAGAAATAGACTCGAAGGGAAAGTGATGGAATTAGCAGGTAAAGAACATTTGTCATTAACATAGTCAAGAATTTAAAGGGGGAAAATGAACATAATGAGGGAATAATTAGGAACTCAAAGTACAGAAATGACAACCCTAAGCAAAATAGCTTCATATAGGAGTAACTGGAATTCCAAAACCAAAAATGAGAGCCAACCAAATAGCTCAGCAGATTAAGGCACCTGCCTAGGCAGGCGCAAGGGCCAGGGTTCAATCCCTGCCTGCCTTGCCGCCCCCCTCCCCACGGGATGCACTGAGATGGTGATTGAGACTGGGCGTAGTGGTGCGTGCCTGTAATCCCAGCCCTTGGGAGGCTGTAAGTAGGAGGATGACTATGAGTCTGATCTGTATAGTGAGACTCTGTAGACCCTGTACTAAAAAGAAAGAAAAAAAAAAAAAAAAGAACATTTAAAGACATAGACAGAAAGTCATCAATCTGGGAATCTCAGTGAACCTAAAGTAGACAAACATGGCTGTAACAGGCACATCATAATCAAATTGCTGAATACAGAAAATCCTTAAAACAACCAAGGGCCGGCCAAATAGCTCAGTGGATTGAAGCGCCTCCAAACAGGTGTAGGGGCATGTGGTTTAATCCCCAGGCCTGCTGCTGGCCCCACCTCCAGGGCTGAGACGGCAATTGAGACTGGGTGGGGTGGCCCATGCCTATAATCCCAGCACTTGGGAGGATGTGAACAGGCAGATCACTGAGTCCGATTTAGTAGTGAGACCCTATAGACCCTGTAGACCCTTCCCTAAAATACAAAAAATAATAATAATAAAGAAATAAAACAACCACAGTTGAAAAAGGGGGGGAGAGAGAGAGATAAAAGGATGCCTGTAGAGAACACTGAAAAAAATTACTTCCCATGAAAATTTAGAATTTAGCATGAAACACAATTCAATAAAAGTTGCTTTTAAGATATTAAATAATAAATAAAAAATTAGTATTAAATAGTATATTAGCAAAAGTACTGTTCATATGAGCAAAAATTGGTACTTTCAGATAAAGAAAGATGAATGTATTTTTCGACATAACTGCATAAGAAAAAAATCTACAATTTAGTATTTTCCATGGACATAGATACAAAATTAACAAATCCAATAATATGTAAGAAGGATAATATGTTATGACAAAGTGCCAGCCTGGGCTACATAATGAGTTTAAGAACAGTTGAATTGCATGGCAAGACCCTGTCTCAAAAAAAAAAAAATGGAAAAAGGAAGAGTGTATTTTAATCCTGGAGTAAGGTGATGATTGCCCTTTTGTGATACTGGAGCCTTCATACTGAGCAACATCCCTAGCTCTTTGCGTTTTGTTTTGTATTTTGGGATAGATCTCACTAAATCACTAAGTTGCCCCATCTGGCTCTAGCTTGCCATGTTCCTGCCTTGGCCTTCCAGAGAGCTGGGATCATAGATGTGTGCCGTTATGCCTGGATAAGGGCCAAGTTTCATTCCTGGTATTATCTCCTCAGTCAGGTTTGACAGGGAGTTCCTAATATGACTGACTGTTCAAAAAATCATCTTTTGACATTGTTGAACTGTCTTAATTTTTTATTTCAGTAATTTCTGTTTTTGTCTTTAATATCTACTTCCATTTATTTGTTGACTTAATGTGCTGTCTTTTTAAATCATTCAGGTATAAATACCTAAATCATTAATTTTTTTTTTACCTTTACTTTGTATGTATTTGAAGCTATCTTTTGTTTATTTTATTTTAGTTTTTCACTACTAGGAATTGAATCCAGGGCTTTGTACTTGACAAGTAGTCTACCATTGAGCCCTCTTTTTTTTATTTTTTAGTTTTTTGAGACAAGTTCTCACTAAGTTATCTACCTTTCCCTTGAGCTTTCTATCCTCTTGCCTCAGCCCCCTGAGTGGCCACCTCACCCTTCTGAAGCTGTCTAATTTTCAGGCTTTCTTTGGGTATCAGTTTTTTATTTCTGGGGAAAGGAGAAGACCAGATGTGTCATTTATATCTTTTTGCTTTGTATTGTAATATTTTTGACCAATCAAGAACAAGATGATATTTAAGGTGCTTTTTAAAAGTTTAGCAAATTAGAAATAGCATGGCTTACTTCACGTAAGATGCCCTTAATGCTACCTTTTGTCTTGAAAGAACAAATGACTCATCAAACAGTAGAGTTACATGATGCTAATTTATATTCTGTGGTAATGTCAACATTGGCTAGATAAATACATAAAATTATCTATGAAGAACTTTAAAATTCAAAGTGTAATAAAAGTTTTAAAGTCAGACATTTATATGTATAGTTTATATTTTATAGCACCTGTTGCTATATTATTGATGATAGTATTATAATTAAAATTGTATCTATTCATTTTAATAAGACCCTGAGATATCTTTATTCAGCAGGATTAGGTATTTAATATTTATGTAAAGTTGGAAGTAAAAAGGCTGTATTTGAGATATGTAAGTATTTAATAACTATAATGACATTTCCACTAATTTTAATTTTAGGAATTTTTTCTTTATTTTTTATAGCTTCTGAGTTTACAATAAAATTGAAGTTCATAAAATTGCTTTAGTGACTGGGTGTGGTGGCCTGCACCAATAATCCCAGTGCTTGGGAGGCTGAAAACAGGAGAATGACTACAAGTCTGATTTGTGTAGTGAGATCCTGTAGA